CTAGTGAGAGGATGCAAGAACTATTCATGAGTCGACTGATGTGAACATCAGGTTTTCAGAGATGCCTGCAGTTTGGCAAGTCCAAGAGTCACAGGGGTCATCATCACCAAGTAGGAGAAAATACATTACAATTGGTGGACAACCAGGACACCGTGGTTCTTCAACTGTGAGAAACTGGTTCAAGATCAAACGGATTAACAACTCTAGCCCAGAGTATCGCATTGCATATTGCGATATCATCAGAGAGTGGGAACGTGGAAATATCATCAGAGAGTGGGAGGATGTGGCTTTCAGTGTCTCAACATAAAGAGTTCCCATTTGTCTTTGTCAAGACTAGGCGCAGCTAAGTGCAAGTATAGTGCAGTAGTGCATGGCATGGAAAATATAATTTCAATAAGGGCTACCTCCTCTCTAACATATGATTCGTAGCAGCCCACAATTTTGTTTATTTGAGTGTTTTTTTCTTGGGACTTTTTCTTGTCAAAAATCAATTGAGTATTTATCCGAAAAAAAAAGAATGAATAAGACTTTTCTTTAATTTTTAAGCCTTTATAGAATGAATCAGATTTGAACAGGATAAAAAAAATAGTGGGTCACCGTTTTATTGATAACTAGCAGATTAGTCCATTCTTTTTTTTTTTTTTGATATTAAACACAATACACTAACTTTTCAACATAGGTGGAAATAGTGGGGCAATTCTCATCTCTGTTAGGACCGAGTCCGGATCTCCTACCCGCACAAATTCTCCCTACATCTATCCACATAACATTGTAGCCACATATGCAGAACATCTCATCCTCCTACATAGTATTCATGCAGGGGGAGATGTTCCGAATTCACAGGGTAATATGTAGTGGGTAGATGTTGCGGCTACCCAATTAACATGCCTACCGAACGACCACTCAGTTAATGTAGATTAGTCCATTCAAACCATGAAAATTATCCTAATCTTTTTCCCATCCTCTTAAAATCTCATAAATTCTATTGATTTGATTAAGAGGCCTTAATTGAACTTTTTAACTGACCGTATTTTTTATTTCTTGGTAATTTTATTGTTTTTTAGTATGAAAGTGAAACAAATGATTATTTCAAATGTCTAGAATCTATTATGAATTATGATAAATCTCCTCTTGAAAATCTAAAATCATGAAATTAACAACAACAAAACATAAAATTATGGAATAGAAATCAATAAAGACAACTTGACATCAGGATTAGTGATTAGGAATTTAAGACAAATGGATAAGATGGTATTTAGTGGGATTATATATATTAACATACGTACAATAGTAATAGTATGTATAGTCAGGTTCATGTTGGGTCGGTTTGCCTAATATCTGCCCATGTATTAGCATCAATTCCGAGTTAATACCTCTCGAACTGTGCAGTGGAGCTAAGATTTGTTAGGTAAACTGATCAGTAAAAGTCCCCTTCTTTTATTACTTTTACCAGCGGTTCTGTTTGAGAAAGGATTGAAACTTGCATGATAGCCTGACAAAGGATTGGAGCCAAACCATCTATTCCTAAATTTATCTACAACGGATCTTATTATAGAATTATTATTTTTACACGAAAATAGAGGGATGCATTGGTTGATCAGTCTATACATCCATGGCACTTGGGTTATATATTGGTTTATATTTTGGAAATTTCCTCTTTACTCTCCCTTTTACAAGGATATCATATTGACTACATCCTACCAAAATAATGCCATTTGTTCTGTGGTACGTTAATATTTCATATACTAGAATCGGATAAATTCAAACAAAGCTAAATTAAAACTTTATAAGTTATAAAAAGGAGGCTTTCCTCTCTTCCTCTCTCAAATATCAATAATTCTCATACAACCTTTAAGCAGCCGAGCAAGTTATTAATTTGAGCTACCGGCAATATCTTCACTCCAGCCATGGGGACTGCATTCTTGATTTCATCTCTTTTGATTGTAAATATCATCAGTTATCTGGTCTGAAGCCATAGCCTCATCTCATGAGTCTCATAACCAACCAGTGTTGTATACAGATGACAATGAGACCCAAGTAGGACAACCCTACTACATTGTCTCAGCCATTCAAGGTGGTGGAGGCAGTGTATCACTCGAAAGATTCGCTCATCAGTTGTGAGGCAGCATGGCTCTGAAATGAACTTTGGCACACCCGTATCTTTCTCTCCAACATTGAATTTAATGGAAGGGAGAATTGTCTCAATCCCCAAAGAGTGAGCCACGGGGAGGATGCTTCTTGGAGTGAGAATCCCATCATTGCTTGGAGCAAGAACGATCCTTGAGTCAACAGATGTGAACATCTGATTCTCAGAGATGCCTGCAGTTTGGCAGGTTCAGAAATCACAGGGGTCATCAACGTCAAGCAGGAGAAGGTACACCACAATTGGTGGACAATCAGGACGCCCTGATTCTTCAACTGTGAGAAATTGGTTCAAGATTGAGCGGATTAGCGGCTTTAGCCCAAAGTACCGCATTGCACAATGCCCTAGCGTGTGCGAGTCATACAAGATTGTGTGTGAATGTGAGCATATCATCAAAGAATGGGAGAAGATGGCTTTCCGTTTCTGAGCATAGAGAGTTCCCGTTTGCTTTAGCGTTTTTTTTTTTGGAACTTTTTCTTTCAAAAATTGATTGAGTATTTGTAAAAAAATAAGGAATGAATGAGAATTTTCTTTAATCATTTTTTTTTGTTTATTGCAATATTGTCAAATTCTGACCAACTAAAAAACCTGTGGGTCATGGTTTTATTGATTAATTGATAGAGTAGTCCATTCAAACAATGAATCATCATTTAATTGGGTTAGGTCCATCCTAATCTTTTTTCCCATACTCTTAAAATCTCATAAATTCTCTTGTTCCTTGACTAAGAGACATAGATTGAACCTTTATGACCATACACTCACCACATTTTTTTATCGGTATTGGCTTGCATGATGTTTTTATTTTTTTTTACCACCAAAGTGAAAACAAATGAACGTTTCAAATGTTTAAAATCTATTATTATATTATGAATTACGATAGATCTCTTGAAAATTTAAAACCATGAAATTAGTAATAATAAAACATATATAAAATTATGGAGTTGAAATCACTAAAGGCAACTTCACATATTAGGGCTGGGTGTATGAATTGAAGAGAATTGAAGAGAAATTGGACCCCATTCAAATCAAAATTAATTTGGATGGGAGATCAGCTTCTATCAGGGCAAACCTGTGCTTACACTGTTCTAACAGTCTTTTGCAACCTTGTTTTGAGGATATCTCCCCATAAAATAAAGCACACAAATACGGAGATATTCTCAATGCAAGGCAGTAAAGACTGTTTGAATGGGCTTTGCCTTGATTGAAGCCGAACTCTTTGGATGGATGGGACAGACCAAGAAGATATATCAAATTGGACTAGTCCAGAGTTAATAGTCCAAAGTATTTATTAGATTAGACATGATCCATCCGTAATGAATTTATATTGGATTAGGTTGGATTGAGCCAATATCTGATTCATTGATAGAAGATAAGAATATAGGTATCAATGGACTTGGTTTGGGTTAGAATAAATCTAAATTAAAACAAATTTAAACAGATTGAACGTTCCAGACATTGAATTGGACTGACCCAAAATGATCCAAAATATTCGTTGGATTGGATTGGACCTGGTCTATTTGTAATAAACTCGCATTGGACTAGTTCGGATTGGACCAAATCCAGTCCAATTAACACTCCTAATCAATCGGGACTCTGCTGGATTGTTTTCTCTTGGGCCGGGAACCAAATCCTGTCCAATTAACACCCCTAGTCATACGGGACTCTGCTGGATCTTTTTCTCTTGAGCGGGGGTCTGAACATCAACCTGTGTTCCCTGATGGAGTACTGTGAGGCGTTGGAGTTTTATGGGAAGGTTTGAGATTATTTTTTGTCCAAAAATATTGTATCAGGCATGTGAATGTTGAGGTAGGCAAGTAGGAAAACTATAGAAATGATAGGATTAAAAATGGACACATTCCAAGAAAATTAGGAATGACCCAAATACAAGGATATGAAATGATGGAAAAGTACACCAAGATGAAGGATATGACACTATTTTTTTTTAAGTATATTCATGTAGCTAATCCCATGTAGTTGTGATAATCAATACAACAATAGGTCCTTTAGTCGGCAGTTTGATGACACCCCTTCTTCATCCCTGCCCCATAACTAAAATCCCTTATTCCATTCTTGATGGTGGAGCGGATTTGGAGCAAGGCATCCTTTTCCATTGGGGATGAGAGATTTTAGAAATAGAATTATGAGAATTTGGAGATATTTTACAAATGTGATTATAGGATTCTAGTTTTTATTTATTGGAATTAGGGGGAAAATTCAAGGGTATTTTAAAAATTAATGTTAAACTTAAGAATATTCTAATAATTTACCCGTTTAGTCTCTGATTTGAGCTAAAAATATTTTCCCCATCTTTATTTAAGATCAGGGACTACACATGGACTGCTGGAATGTTAAATAAATGACATTTTTTATTACTTTGACCAGTGGTGATGATTGAGAAAGGATTGAAACCTGACTCCATCCATTTAATTTGTTCCTAAATTTATCTACAACGGATTCCATTATAGAATTATTATTCTTACACCGGATCCATTGTTTGATCAGTCTACACATCCATGGCACTTGTGACATTTGTTTATTTTTGTAACCTTTCCCCTTTACTCTGCCTTTTACAAGGAGTTCATATTGACTATATCCTATTCCTACTAAATGGTGATGCCACTCGTTCTCTGGTACATGAATTTCTCATATATCAAAAATGGAAAATTCAAATAAAGCTAAATTACAACTTGTTAGTTACACAATAGAGGTTTTAATATCGTTTTTGATACCTTCTCATGCAAAATTTCCTATATTTCAGGAGGGAATTCAATGGATGGTTGTGATAAAAGAAAACAACCTAGATATAAAAGGGAGGCTTTCCTCTCTTCTGGCTACAAACAATATTTTCACTCTAACCATGGCGACTACATTCTTGATTTCATCTCTTTTGATTGTGATATCATCAATTATCCAGTCCGAGGCCATAGCCTCATCTCACAAGTCTCATCAGCAATCTGTATTGGATACAGATGGCAATGAGATCCAAGCAGGACAATCCTACTACATTGTCTCAGCCATCCGAGGTGGCGGAGGTGGTGTGTCACTTGATAGAAGGGAGAAGTCTCACTCATTAGTTGTGAGGCAACATGGTTCCGAAATGAATTTTGGCACACCCATATCTTTCTCTCCAGCATCAGCTTCAATGGAAGGGAGAATTGTCACACTCCCAAAAGATCGAGCCACTGGGAGGATGCTTCTTAGAAAGAGAATCCCCTCATCATCATCAAAGGCAAACACTATCCTTGAATCGGCAGATGTGAACATTAGATTCTCAGGGATGCCTGTAGTTTGGCAGGTTCAAGAATCACAGGGATCATCTTCGTCAAGCAAGAGAAGGTATGTTGCAATTGGAGGACAACCGGGACACCCTGGTTCCTCAACTGTGAAAAATTGGTTCAAGATCGAGCGAATTAGCAAATCAATCCAAGCGTACCGCATTGCATACTGCCCTAGTGTTTGCGAATCTTGTGAGGTCGTGTGTGGAAATGTGGGCATATTATCAGAAAGTGACAGAAGGTGGCTTTCCGTGTCTGAAAATACAGAGTTTGCATTTGTATTTGTCAAGGTTAGACACGACTAAGTGCATGACATGGAAAATGATGAATTCAATAAGGGGCTGCGCCTTGTCTAACATGCATTAGTATTCATGGCAGCCACTTTAGTATTTTTTTCTTGGGTTTTTATTTTCTTTTCAAAAATCGATTGAGCGAGTATATATCAAAAAAAAAAAAACGAATCAGGGAATTTTCTTTGATCTTTTATGTATTTATTTATATTTTATTATTTTGTTATTGAAATATTATTAAAATAATTTGAACCCACTAAAAAAATCTGTGGGACAAAAATGCAGGCCTTTTTTTTAGGTATGAGTCTGAAACGTGGGTCTTAACTCTTAATCTGCCCGCAATTTTGGTTTACATTTGTGAATTCTTCAATGGAATTAAACCAACGGCACATTGGAAATTAACTTGGATTTAGTCCTCACCATTTATTGGGAATATCTCACTCCTATTTGTATGTATTTATGGGGTAATATTCTCAATGCACAGCTGCAAATGTTTGTAAATACAGTGCGAGCACATTTTTGTAACGACCGAATCCGATCTCATTGGAAACAACCCCCCTCCGATCTCATTGAAAGGACTGGATGCCATATTCTCATTGTCTAATAACTAATATGCTTTTTGCTTGCAGCAGATTTGGGTTAATTCTATTAAGCAAAAAATAGTAAAAAATACAGTACTTTCGTGTTTTGGCAGGTGGAAGGGCTGCTCTCTGAATCCTCTCTAGGGCAGTGAGGGGTGCCTCACACCAATCTCATACGCACATCTTACCATGTATTGGGAATATCTTCCATACTTATAAGTTATTATTCATGGAAAATATTTCTAATACACAGTGGATGTGCTTATGTGTGAGGAGCAGATCCGGTTCCATGATTCTAATCCAGGATCCCCTACCCACATGCTACTACAGCCGTGCATGCATTGAGAACATCTCCATTGTCATTTATGAGGATATTTGGACACAATGTGCAGGTGTAATGTCTTGTGTTTGTAGGGATGTCCGTCGTGCCAATTCATTCAGTTGTGTTTGTAGGGATGCCCATGCATTTTGATGAATCATTCCAATGCTGTATCTTTTCCCTCTCTTACCAGTTCTTTAAGAGTTGTTTCTTGTTCTGATATTTTGGGATGTGCTACTCACCATCTTGTGTAGCCCCTCTTCTTCATTAATCAAAAAAAAAAGAAAAAAAAAATCTGTTTCAGAAACATGCCTTTTGAAGTAAAAGCATGAAATGGGTGTTTGGTATCTACTTTTTGACTTCTACATACACATGGCACCATCATATTGGCTAGAATTAAAATGTAGTATTTCAGCTTATTAATACATACTATCATAAAATTATTCACATTGTATCTAACTAATATTAAACCACATTAAAAAAAAAAAAACTTTAACAGATACACCACACTACATGCTAAATGTAATGAATAACAACACCATTATGCAAATTAATAACCCAATAGTCATGCAACATAATGATGCACCCACAACATGCCCATATCATCCATGGCTTGATTGATAGATCAGTCTTGAATGCACTTCTTGGTGACTAAACAAGCCTATGTGTGTATTGCCTCATCATCATCTACCCAAAAGAAGCTATTATTATGCCCCTATTTAACAAAATACACACATTTTCAGTAATTTAAGAGATACAATCTTCATGATGAAGAGTTGAGTTTGAGGATCTTCACCTCCCCACATAGGACATTGGTAAAAAAATTCTCAATCAATAGACCATTGAGAAAGGGAGGAATACAAATGTTAACTTGAAATGGATAAATGGGGGTTTAATTACACTCAAAGTAGAATATACATCAATTGAATCACAAAGGAAGATAAAAAAAATAACTTGAAAATGGTTAAATGGGGGTTTAAGATGCCATACCTAAGAAACGAAGTCCGCACGACACACCTGTAAAAAATGGGGATCAGTGAATTGGTGAGGAAGAAGAAGAAGAAGAAGAATTGGCAGAGAAAGAGGAGAAGAAATTACAGTGGAGGCGAGTAACATGGGTTCAAACAAAGAAGAAGAAGAAGAAGACGAAGAAGAAGAAGAAGAAGTGGCAGAGGAAGAGGAGAAGAAATAACAATGAAGGCGAGTAACAGCAGTATGGACGACGACAACGACGAAGAAACATAATTTATTATGGCCATATACAATGACGCCAACCTAATTAAGTTTAATTTTTATGGCCATTTACAGTTCATATTTTATTGATATTTCATTTCTTGATGTTTATTTTTTGTGTATATCTATACTACTTTAAAAAGCACCAATGGCCTCAAGACAATTTCTAGAAATTTTTATGGACAAAACTACCCTTCTATATTTAAATTTATTGATAAAAAATGAGGGCAAATAGGGTAATCAGTTATTGATATATGAGTTCAAAAGAGGTAATTTAAAGATATTTGATGCATTCAATTCTCTCTCATTAAATCCAATATTTAAGTTATTAACTTGTATTCATGGGCATTGAATCATATATTTAAGTCATTTTTGTTTCTTCTCATCATTAAGTTCTATAAATTAAATCCATACTTAATAATTTAATAATTCCAATAACATAAAAGCTTATACTTTTAAAATCTACCAGACAAAAATAGTGTTTTCATCTAGGTGGTGGTAAGAAATTAAATCATTTTGGGTCAAATGGGTTAATCAATATTTCCATGATTAAATAATAAAATTAAAAAATAGATAAAATGAAAAAATAGAAATTAAAAAAATTGGAACATTTTTAACATACATATTAAACAATAATAAGTATGATAAATAATAAATGTTTTTATTAATGATGGAAATGGAATGTAAAATTTAAAACCAATCGGAAATAAAAATATTTTCCTATTCCCTTTCATTAAATCCTATATTTAAGAAATATTTTTTTCATCATTAAATTATCGTAATTAAATCCACAATATTAATTTTAATAGTATAAAAATAAATATGTTGAAAAGTAATTTGAAAACAAAACCAATTTCTTCCCTCCTAGTGGTGGGTAAGCAATTCGACTATTTGGGGTCAAATGGATTAATAAATAATGACATTATTAAATAATAAAAATTCAAAATAAATAACTATGAAATGTAAGAAGTATTTTTATTAATGATGAAAGTAGAATGCAAAAATCAAAATCTACCTATAAATGAAATGATGTCATAGTCGAATAATAAAATTTTTAATAATAAAAAATATAAAGAAACACAACAATAAAAAAAGGATAGAGAAAATTTTGGGCACATATCTAATGTTACATATTTATAAAAAATAAAATATTGGGTATATTTTTAATATCATGCATTCATTATATTAAACAAAAAAAAAGTTTTACACATAAGAAATAATTTTATCAATGATAGAAATATAATACAAAATTTAATGTCAACCTAGAAATCAAACAATTTTTTTTTTTAGATGGTGGGTTAGTGGTTTGAGTCAAATGATACCATAGATAAACAAAAATTAAGCATGATAAGTAAAAAATATTTTAAATAATGTAAATGAAATATATAATTTAAAAGAAAAATTATAGTCAAAGTCGGTTGTACGTTTAAAATTAGGTTGCAGGTTGGTTCAGAAACCAACAACACTCTGACAACCGAGTTTACATTTTAAATTATAAAAACCCCTGCCATGTCATTGGAGGCTTATGTGGCTGTTGCCAACATGGGACTCTTAGCTCATATTGGACACAACAAAAAACCTATACCTAAAATAGGTTTTTAGTTTCTCACCCACTCCCTCTATCTCTCGATCTCCCTCCCTTCTCTCTCTTACTCTCACAATCATCTCTTGATCTCCTGCTCCCTCTATCTCTCATACTCTCTCAGCTTCGATCTATAGCCAAATGAAAACCTCCCTCTCACTCAATTTTTCTCATTCTTCTCCCTCACTCTCCCTCTTGGTCAATATCTCATTCTCCCTCAATCTCTATCGTTCTCCAGTAAGTGTAAATTTCTTAGCCAAGAGATTCTTGCGAATTTTTATCAAATTGGTGTAATAATTTTTGAACCATACCAAGTTGGTCTCATGCTCTTTTATACATTTTGATTAATGTTATATAAGTGTGTAAGAAAATAAAAAAATAAGAGAGGGAGTAGGAGAGAAACTAAGGGAGAACAATAGAAATTAAGAGAGAATGAGAGATCGACCAAGAAAGAGAATAAGAGAGATTGAGGGAGAATGATGGGTAGTGAGAGAGAATGAGATAAATTGATAGAGAGAACGTAAATACAAAAACCAAAAACCATTTTTATTTATTTTCAAATCACATAGTCATTGAGCAGATAAAGATGACTGTAAGTGAGAGAGTGTGAGGGAGATTGAGGGAGAGAGAGAGAGATGGAAATTTGTCGCCTAATTTTAAATATGCAGCCAACTCCGACTATAATTTTCCCTAATTTAAAGCTAATCCAAAAGAAAATTGTTTTTCTTACCTAGATGGTGGATCAGTAATCCTTTTCAAAGAAACCCATGATGTCATAATTGAATAATAAATATTTAAGTTTATTTTTAAACATATTGGTACTTTTGTTAATTTTCAATTCCTATATTAACTATGGTATATCTAAAATTCAAGTAATTAATATGAAGAAAAATTCATCACATGCAATGCATGTGTTTAATTACTAGTTAGTACAAAAGTATAAAAGTGAATGTTTTAAATGCTTACAAATTATTATTATTTATTATAGATCTCCTCTTGAAAAGCTAAAATTATGAAATTACCAGTAATAAAACATACAATTATGGAATGGAAATCACTAAAGACAACTTGGCCTTACATGTAGTGTATATGAGTTTAAGACAAATAGATATAATGGTATATAGTGGGACTACATATAGGGATGGCAATTTCCCGCATAAAACTGGGGCCCCACCCCGCCCCGAACGGGGCGGGTTTTCCCCGACCCTAAACAGGGACAGGGTGGGGACGGGGAAAATATTTGTTCCTAAACCCACCCCAAACTCGAAGGTAAATTAGTAAAATATCTCTAGGTTTAACA